TTGTCTGTTCGGGTGGTCTTGTCCTTCCTCTCGTGGTTGTTTCAGGACCGTCATCTTATGCCTAACACTGTTGCCTCGTATCGTTCGGCGCTGGCGGAGCCGCTTCAGCTTGCTTTCGGTATCGATGTTACGTCTGCGCCATTTCGCAAGCTGTCTCGTGAATTGTTTCACCTCCGGCCTGCTCATGCGTCGCCTGAGCCGTTCTGGTCTTTGGACAGAGTGCTCGCTTTCCTTTCATCTCCTCGTTTCGTTGTGGCCCCTTCAGTCCAGGATTGTTTTTCCAAGGCACTTTTCTTGTTGGCTTTGGCCTCTGGGGGTCGGGTAGGGGAGCTTCATGCTCTCCTCCGGCGCAGGGGTTTCTGCTCTTTTGGTCGTGGTGATTGTTTTGTTCGTTTGGAGCCGTCTCCTTCTTTTCTGGCGAAGAATGAGACTGCTGCGTTCCGGACGGGTCCATGGGTGGTTGATGCTTGGTTGGTCAGGCCAGGGGTGCATCATGTTTTGTGTCCGGTTGCGGCGTTTCGCCGTTATTTGTGCGCCACGGCTTCTGTGTCCGGAGACGTGCTGTGGGTTGATTCGGTTTCCCTTCTTCCCTGTTCGCGGGTTCGGGTCTCCCAGGTCGTCCGCAGGGTTATTAAGTCCAGCCAGCCTGCGTTCTATCCCCGTGCCCATGACGTTCGTAAGTTTGCGGCTCTTGCTGCCGTCTTTGGGAATATGTCTTGGTCTGATATTCGGGCGCGGGGATTTTGGCGGTCGAACAGGGTTCTGGCTGCTCGTTACTTTGTGAATGTCCCTGGGGCCCCGTCGGGCCTGTGTTGCTTTGGGTCGGCGGTTGCAGCCAGTTGTCTCGGCTTCGAGTTGAGGCGTGAGCGACGACCGCCTCCCGGGTAAGTCCCTCTTTTTCCGTCTGTTTGTAGTTAGCTCCGGGGAGCCGACGGGGCTCCCCCCAGAAAACCAGCGTTGAATGTAATGAAAAGCCATTTTCTGGGTGAGTCCCGGAGGCTCCCCGGCATCCCTCCCTCCCTCCGGTCGGCGTTTTTTCGCGTTTTTGACATCCAGCCTCAAGAACTGAGGTGTGGGTAGCCGGCGTGGAGGGTCTGGGGCTCCCCCTTCCCCTGGGAGGGGGAAGGGGGAGCCCCTGCCGCCTCCCCTGCTGCTTCCCTGGTATCTCCTTTGCTCGGTTTTGCCTGCACTTGCTGTTGTATGGGGGGGTTGGTTGGTTTTCCACCGCTTCCCTTCCTTGTGTGTTCCCTTTGTTTCCTCCTGTGCCGCAGGGGTTTTTTTCGTGCATTCCTTGGCTTCTTGGGTTCCTTCAGCCTATGTCATATGGTGCGCTTATGTGTCTTGGTCGGTTTTTGTTGCTCGTACCCCTTGGTTCGGGTACTGTTCTGGTAGCAACCCTTATGCCTTCTTCGGTTTTCCTGGCTTGCCCTGCCTGTTGGCTTTTCAGGGTCTTGCGATGTCTCGCGTCGGACCTTTCGCTTCTGATCTCCTGGCAGGCTTGCTCTCATTGGGGAGCTTTCTGTTTGGCAGACGCTCCATCTCCTTTGTGCCAGCTTGGGCTTTGGTGGTCGCGCCCGAGATCTTCCTGCGGCTCCGCCTTTTCCTGGGCTTGGATGAACCTTGTCGGGGCTGATTAAGTTCTGCCTCGTGTGTCTCGCCTCCGGTTGGTGGTCTGGTGGCTTCGTAGTTGGTGTCCCACCTGCGTACTTCTTCTTGGCGGCAGTATGGGGTATTTTGGTGGTCCTTCCTTTTCCTCCTGTCTCTTTTTAGGTGGCTGCGGTTGTTAGCGTCAGCTTGGTTTTTCTGGTGGGGGTTGGGGGTCGTTGTCTTGCCACATACTGTCGCCTCGTTTTGTACAGCGCTGGCGGAGCCGCTTCGGCTTGCTTTTGGTCTTCGTGTTCCTTTTGCGCTGTTAGTACGCTGTCTCGTGTGTTGTTTCACCTCCAGCCTGTTCATGCGCCACTTGCACCGTCCTGGTCTCTGGTCAGCGTGCTCTGTCTTCTCCTCGGTTGGTGGTGCCCCTTTGGTTCCGGTTTGTTTTTCGTCGGCTCTTTTTCCTGTTGGCATTTGCCTCTGGGGCTTGGGTTGCTGGGCTTCTCGCTCTCCTCCTCAGGGGTTTACTGCTCCTTCAGTCTTGGCGTTTTGGTTGTTCAGTGGCAGCCGTCTCCATCTTTTCTGGCACAGGATGAGGCTGCTGCGTTCCAGAGGGGTCCTTGGTTTGTTGGTGCTTGATTGGTCGGGCCAGGGGTATGTCATGTTTTGTGTTCAGTGGCGGCCCTCCACTGTTATTTGCGTGCCGCGGCCTCTATGTCCGGGGCGCGCTTTGAGTTGATCCGGTTCCTTTCTTCCCTGTTCGCGGATGAAGGTGTCCCGGGTTGTCCGCCGCGTTATTGCGGCTAGCCTGCCTGTTTTCTTTCCCCATGCCCGTGACATTTGTGGCTTCACTGTTCTTGCTGCTGTCTGGGCGGCATGTCCTTGTTGTCATTCGGGCACGGATCTTTTGGTGTTCGTACAGGGGCCTTGCTGCTTGTCTCGTGTTGTTCCCGGGCCCTTTCGGGGCTGTGTCGCCTTGGGTTGGCGTTTGCTGCCGGTTGTCTCACTTCCGTTGAGGGGTGCGTGGTGTCTGCCTCCCAGTTCCGTCCCTTTGACCTTCCTCTGTGAGTAGTTAGCTCCAGAGAGCCGACGGGGCTCCCCCAGAAAACCAGCGTTGAATGTAATGAAACACCATTTTCTGGGTGAGACCTGGAGGCCACCCTCCCTCCAGTCGGTGGTTTTTCGCGTGTTTTGACATCCAGCCTCAGAACTGATGGGTAGATAGCCGTCGTGAGAGGTCTGGGGCTCCTCCTTCCCCCTCCCGGGGAGGGGGAGCTGCGCAGACAGCGGCGCAGTGACATGTTACGTCATACTAGTTTGCTTGTTTTCTTTTATGGAGTTCTATCCACTAGTTCGGCTTTTGGTAGCAATTTTAACCAGAATAGGGGTTTGTCTTGGAATGCTTACCTTTCTGGATGCTTGACCCGGTCGATGGCAGACATAGAATGCTTTCAACCACACGGGGGTTTCTATAGGCTATTGCTTCCCTTGCCTCTCTGAGGGGGGCCAGGTTCTCGCCATGGTCCCTGGTAGGCCCTAGAATTCCATACACATGACTGATGCCAAAGTCTGACATTAGCATATCAGCCTTGTAAAGCTCTGGGAAGCCTCCAGGTCTCACCCAGAAAATGGTGTTTCATTACATTCAACGCTGGTTTTTTCTAGGTGTGTCTTGGTATGGGCGAAAGGTTTGAAAGTTGGTGCGAAAGGCAAACGAAGCGATGGTGTGGACGGAGCTGAAATGTTCACCAACACTTCCAATTTCGGGTCCGTAACCACCATACAGGGCAGCTCCAGGGCATCCAATTGGGAACATAACCTAGACAGCTGTAACTGAGCAAAACGAACTCACAAAGTGGATGCTGCCTGATATGCTGTAACCTCATCAGGAGGGTAAGAAAACACATGTGACCTGGAAAGAGTAAACCACAGAGGACTGATGGTCAAAGGTGTTACCAACCCAACAGGCAACATAGCGGAGGCAGAACGAGTGATCGTTGTCTTGTGGCATGAATGATGAGCAACCCTCAAATGTGCACAAAGCGAGATCAGGTTCGGGGAGGGGAGAGGTGATATCCATAGGACTATCAAACCTGCAGAGGATTTCCAGAGCATCAAGGGTAAACCACGCAATGACACCCAGGTGCTGGGAATGATATGCCATACCTAAAAGTAAGGTATCACAGCCTGGGGTTACGCAGCTGTCAAGTGCTCATTCAGCTCATCTTGGTTCACCCTGGCAAAGAGCCATCACAAGCGAGGAAGACCTCAGTGGAAGCAAGTCCTGAACACTTTAGAGAAAAAAACTCTGGCAATGCAAGAGCAGTGCTAGGGAGCACACAGGTAAGGTAACCCTGAGCACATGCCACGCCAAGCACTCTTCAAGCCAGGTTCATGCTACACTGCAGAGTACAGGAAAAGCCACCAAGGACAAACACAAAAACCACTTAGCTGAACAGAGGAGCTCGCACAATAGAAGAGGCAATCCTGGAACCACTACAGCAGTCAGATGACCCCAACTGCATCAGTGTAACAACTGACTGCTCTTGCCCCGGGAGGTGGTAGCCCCGTCCCTTCTCCCCACAAATGAGGGGAGGAAGTGGAGCAAAGAAGCTCAATTTCATTAGGAAAGTTTTGAGGCTTCAGTTTCTCTTGAGCCTTGCAGTGGTTTGTTTTGACTTGCTGCCTTTTTGGATGCCTTTCCCAGTGAGGTGGCGAAGCATCACCGCATCCTGCAGCTGTGTGAGGGGGAGGTCAGCTTCTGGTTCTGGTCCCTGGTAGGCCTAAAAACTTTATGGCTGATGCAACATGGTAAATATGAAACATCTCAATATATAGCTTCAGGGAGCCCCAGCTGCCCCCAGAATAACTCTTTGGAAACCACAGCCTCTATTTCAGACTTGACTTCACGACAATCTCGGGTTGGGGGAATTTCCTATAGATGTCGATATTTCTTAAAGTGTGGCACTCGGGCCAATCCCAAACTCCCATATACACTCAATATCCCTCATGTCATCTTGGAAAGTTGGGTGAAGCTATGCCCAAGCATCTGGCTTCCAACCTCGGACAGACAGAAAAGTATTCTCTTCCGTAGGTTCAGATATACTTTTATGCACACGAGTGAGGTGGCAATATTTATGACCACCTCGCTCTAAGAGTTAACAAATTCTAGTGTCTTCCTTTCAATACTACAACTAGGTGAGGACATTTGTAAACAATCCTCACTCTGAATTGTTTAAATGCTAAAACTGTATATGCTCCTGTCCAAGGGAACAGTAGGCCTTTGCCTAAATCAGCAAAAAAATGAGTGCCTTGCTCAGAAAGTAATTTATCATGTTCATATTTTTTGTTATACCTGTGTATATATATTTTTCTCACAAAGTCCTTTGTTTTACCACCACTACCAGGTGATGCCTTTGGTAGCTCCCATCATGAAGGTGCAGGCATGCAGGCAGTATGGTGCCAACGTCATTGTAAAAGGGAATGATATTGGCGAGTGTCGTGAGTATGCTCTCAAGATGGCCAAGGATCAAGGTCTTCTCTACATTAATGGGTACATTAACCATAATTTTCATCAATAATTAATGAGGATTAATATGGTCACTTAGAGACAATCAACTCATATTCAGCGGGCATTTATAAAGATCCTTTCTGTGGAGAGCCCCTTCGGCTCCCCGGAGCTATACCGGGCTGATGTGTGTATATTAGACCGTGACAACAATCAATCGAAGGAGTTCTAGGTCTACCAGGGACCAGAGTCAGAACCTGACCCCCTAAAGAGAGGCACGAGGCGCAATGGCCTAAAGACCATGTAAGACCTAAAGACTTGACCAGACCTAAAGACTTTATGTAATTGGAAGCAGTCTTTGTCTGCCATCTACGGTAGGAATTCCAAAACAAACTACTGCTGGTCAGAATTTGCAAATCGAAAGCCGAACTAGAAACAGGACTCGCCAATCAAAACCAAGGAAGCAAGTATGACATCACCACAAACACCGCGCATCCGTCTGTGGAACCCCCCGCTCCCTGGGAAGGGGACGGGAGGGGTCCCAGACCTCCATGCCAGCAACTCTCCTCAGTTCACAGGCTGTTGTTATGGGTCTTGTGTGGAACTCTCGGACTGCTTCCTTCCTGCGACGCTGTTGCAACTGAGGTCCCACCTACAACTGTTTTTGGAGGGCAGCTGGGTCGCACGTTGGTTGTTCGAGCACCTGTGCGGGACCCTGAACTTCACTGTGCTGATCTACCCGTTGGGTCGGATCTGGCTTTGGCGGCTGTTCTGGTTTCTTCAGGGGCATCCCTTCCGCCGCTCTCACAATCGCCGGGTTCAGATCCCGGGAGCCTTGCATCGGCTGCTGCGTCGCCGGCTTCCTCTGCGGGTTTTTCGGGGTTGTGTGCCATGGCGCCTCCCTGAACCTTCACTCAATGTGTTCATGGATGCATCGTCTCTCAGCTGGAATTTTGTGACAAGTGTTCACCAGGCCGGCCAGGGTCAGTGGGGTCCATCCTTCTGTCGAGCTCACAGCACGGCGCGGGAGTTTGTGGCGGTGTGGCATTCGCTTCAGAAGATTCATGTCGCTCGCGGAGCAACAATCCAGCTCCGTTCAGACTGCTCCCCGGCGGGTCATTGCCTGAACCGTGGGGGTTCGATGCGGTCCTTGGCTCTTTGGGGCTGGTCGCTTCGGGTGACTCGTCTGCTGAGTTTTCGGGGTTTGGCTCTCCTGGAAGTTCATGTTCAGGGGTGTCAAACATCCTGGCAGAGGCCTGTCTCAGTTCATTCCCCTATTCACGGAATGGACGGTTGAGACCGACTTGTTCAGTTGGCTCTGCTGGACATACTGGGGGCCCTGAGGTGGACCTCTTCACATTGGCGTGGTCGAGGCATCTTCCAGTATATATGACGCCCTTCCCAGACTGCGAGGTCGTCGGGGCCGATGTCTTTCGGCTGGACTGGTCCAGGTAGCATTACCTGTACTTCTTCCCACCGGTCCGGTTGTTGCTCCGAATCCTGGCTCGGTTGGAGACTTACCAGGGGAGAGTAGTCCTGCTGGCTCCTTGGTGGCCGGCCCAGCCCTGATTTCAGGAGCTTCTTGCTCGATGTTCAACCAGAGGGTCTTCCCGCGGCTCCGCCTCTTTCAGCAGATTGGTCTGGTCCGATACATGGCTGGTTCGATCTTTTCCTCCACTCTTCGCGTCTGGTCGTTTTGAAGCAGTTTTATCATCACTTATACGGTGATCAGATGGCTTTGTTGATGGTGTCACACCTGAGAGTTTCGTCTAGATGGCAGTATGAAATTTCCTGGTGGTCCTTTCGGCATTTTCTATCTCTTCGTAGGTTGTCTTCGATTTCTGATCAGGTTGTTTTGTTCTTTCTCTCTTGGTTGTTTCAGGACCGTCATCTTATGCCAAATACTGTCACCTCATATCGTGCTGCGCAGGCGGAGCCGCTGCAGCTTTCATTCAGGGTGGATGTCACTTCTGCTCCATTCTGCAAGTTTTCTCGGGGGTTGTTTCACCTCCGGCCTGCTCATGCGCCGTTTGAGCCATCCTAGTCGTTGCACCGGGTACTCTCTTTTCTCTCTTCTCCTCGGTTTGTGGTGGCCCTCTTGGTTCAGGACTGTTCTTCTATGGCTCTTTTCTTGTTGCATTGGCCTCTGGGAGTCGGGTCGGGGAGCTTCATGCTCTCCTCCGGCGCAGGGGTTTCTGCTCTTTCGGTCCTGGTGATCGTTTCATTTGTTTGCAGCTGTCTATTTTTTTTCTGGCAAAGAATGAGTCTGCTGCTTTCTGAAGGGGGGTCCTTGAGTTGTTGATGCTTGGTTGGTTCGGCTGGGGGTGCATTATACTTTGTGTCCGGTTGCGGCTCTTCGCCGTTATCTGCTCGCCACAGCCTCCGTGTCAGGAGACGCGCTTTAGGTGGACCCGGTTTCCCTTCTTCCCTGTTCCAGGGCGCGGGTCTCCCAGGTCATCCACAGGATTATTTGGTCCAGCCAGGCTGTGGTCTATCCCTGTGCGCACAACGTTCGTAAGTTTGTGGCTTTGGCTGCTGTTTTTGGGAATATGTCCTGGGCTGACATTCAGGCACGGGGCTTTTAGAGGTCAAACAGGGTCCTGGCCACACGGTATCTCATTAATGTTCCTGGCCCTTCTCGGGCGTGTGTAGCCTTGGGTTGTAGGGTGCAACCAGTTGTCTTGACTTCGAGTTGAGGAGCGAGAGACGACCGCCTCCCGGGTAAGTCCCTCTTCTTCTTCTTTATCTTTGGTTAGGTAGCTCCGGGGAGCCGAAGGGGCTCTTCACAGAAAACCAGTGTTGTATGTAATGAAAAGCCATTTTCTGGGTGAGACCCGGAGGCTCCCCGGCATCCCTCCTCCCTCCAGTCGGCGTTTTTTTCACGTTTTCAATACTCAGCCTCTGAACTGAGGAGAGTTGCCGGCGTGGAGGTCAGGGAGGTCTGTTTGTGGTGACGTCATACTTGTTTCCCTGGTTTTGATTGGGGAGTTCTGTTGCTAGTTCAGCTTTCAGTTTGCAAATTTTGATCAGCAGTAGTTTGTTTTGGAATTCCTACCTTTCTGGGTGCCTGACCTGGTAGATGGCAGACAAAGACTGCTTCCAATTTCACGGGAGTGTCCTTAGGCAATTGCTCCTCGTGCCTCTCTTGAGGGGGGGCCAGGTTCTGGCTCTGGTCCCTGGTAGGCCTAGAACTCCTTCGACTGACTGTTGCCATGGTCTAATATATATACATTAGCCCGGTATAGCTTCGGGAGCCTCCGAGTCTCACCCAAAAAATGGCGTTTCATTACATTCTACGCTGGTTTTTTGTCATAATGCAGTTTCATTTAGTGATCACTAATTTATATTGTGTGCACTATTATTATATAACACAGTTATGGCAGGCTTGTCAGTCTCTCCAACAAAAAAAACCAGCATTGAATGTAATGAAATGGCAATTTCTCTGTGAGTTCTTGTGGCTCCCTAAAGCTATATGCTGAGATGGTTACCATCTACTGGGTCACATCAGCCGTAAAGTTCTAGAGGCCTACTTAGGACTAGAGCCAGAATCCAGCCCCCTCCCCCCCTCACAGAGGCACAGGGAGTGGTGACATTTATTTTCACTACCTCACCAGGGAAGGCAACCAGAAAGTCAGCGAGTCAGAACTCTAACTGCTGCTTGATTCAAAAGAGATCAAAGCCTCAAAACTAGCTGAAAGAACTCTCTCAACTGTAAATGTAAACAATCATTCAACTAGTACCAAGTACCAAGCTTGTGCTTGTTACTAGCACAAGCTCTTTTGGTGTACCTTCCCCAGTCATTTGGGGAAAGGTAGGTAGCTCACTTCCTGCTGGGACCTGAACTTCCAGTTCTAGGGCAGATGTAGACAACTGGATGGTTAGGAAGGGATCCAAAAGGTCTCGCCCAGTAAGTGCCGTTTCATTACATTTAATGCTGGTTTTCTGGGGGTATCCCTTTCTGGCTCCCTGCAGCTGAACTACCCATGGTGAGGGAAGAAAATGTGGAAACCTACCATGGAGAAGGGAGCACCAGACACTTCCTAAACCCCCACCCTAGAATACTAGCCAAGGACATACTTGCAGATGCAGAAGGGGGTATTTTGCAGGCTCGCTAGACTTAATAACACTGTGAACGACCTAGGAGATATGAATCTTGGAACAAGGGACTAAGGAAACAGGATCAACCCACGAGGTATCCACTGACGCAGAATTTGTGGCACTGCCGGCTGAACCAGCAAAGCATCAATGACCAAAGGATCCCTTCGGAAAGCAACTAACTCATTCTTCATCAGGAAAGGAGGAGCCAGCTGCAAATGAACATAACACCCACCAGGGCCAAAAGAACAAAAACCTCGCCTCCAAAGGAGAGTATGACGCTCCCCCAACCCGACTATCGCAGGCAAGAGAAACCAAAAACAAAGCCATAGAAAAAAGAATCCCGGACTGACACAAGAAGAGGAAAGAAAATCAAGTACATGGTCCAGCAACCAGGCAGGTAGGTGGTGCATGAGCAGGCTGGAGGAGAAACGAGGTGCAATACAGCTTGTGAAGTGGCACCTAGATAGTATTAACACCAAACACGAGCCATAGTGGCTTCATAGCACCGCATAATATAAAGTGACAGTATTCGACATGAGATGCTGATGAAGAAAAAGCCAAGAAGGAAAGAAAGAAAAGTGAGAACCACACGCTCAGGAACTGATGAGCAATGATGAGGGGAAAGGAAGTTGTGAAATGAGGACCACAAAACCTCATACCACCCCTGAGAAGAACAACTCAGGTGAGACACCATTATAGAAGCCTCCTGCTCACTTTAAAGATGGTGATTAAGATGTATTCAAAATCCAAGATGTGAAGAGCTGAGGACATCATACCAGTTGTGTGTCACAAAGCCGACCTTCTGATATATTTGGAACCACAGAAAAATGCTTGGGTTTGGACACTGAGCAAGCAGTGCCTGAAGTCAAGGCTGAACTGACCAGCAGGGAGTCAGAAGGATCATTTGCCTCTAGTAGAACTCTAACCTGGCAAGGACTCGATGCAAC